CTCCCAAGGAGCAGGGAGCCCGATGCGGGACTCGATCCCAGGACCCTGAGATCATGACCTGAGCCGAAGGCAGATGCTTAACCATCTGAGCCACCCAGGCGCCCGCTGTTGGTGTTTTGATAGGGATTGCATTGAATCTGTAGATTGCTTTGGGCAGTATGGATGTTTTAATAATATTAATTCTTCTAATCCATGAGCATGGATTATCTTTCCATTTGTTTGTGTCATCTTCAGTTTCTTTCATCAGTGTGTTATAGTTTTAGAGGTCTTTCATCTCTTGGGTTAAGTTTATTCCTAGTTATTTTATTCTTTTTGGTGCAATTGTAAATGAAATTGTAATTTCTCTTTCTGCAACTTCGTTATTAATTACAGAAATTCAACGTATTTTTGTGTATTACTTTTGTATCCTGCAACTTTACAGAATTCATTTATTCTAATAGTTTTTTGGTGGAGTCTTTAGGGTTTTCTATATATAGTATCATGTCATCTGCAACTAGCGACAGTTTTACTACTTCTTTCTTATCAGTTTGGATGCCTTTTATTTTTCATCCATTGCTGTGTCTAGGACTTCCAGTACTATGTTGAATAAAAGTAGTGAGAGTGGACATCCTTGTCTTGTTCCTGATCTTAGAGGGAAAGCTCTGTTTTTCACCATTATATATGATTTTAGTTGTGGGTTTGTCATATGTGACCTTTATTATGTTGAGGTATGTTCCCTTTAAACTCAATTTTTTTAGAGGTTTTCTTTTTTTATCATGAATAGGTGTTGAATTTTGTCAAATACTTTTTCTGCATTTATTGAAATGCTTCTGTGGTTTTTATCCTTCATTTTGTTAATGTGGTGTATCCCATTGATGGATTTTCTGATGTTGAACCATCCTTGTATTCCCTGAATAAGTCCTACTTGATTGTGTGAATGATACTTTTAATATATTTTTGGATTTGGTTTGCTAATATTTTGTTGAGGATTTTTGCATCTGAGTTCATCAGGGATATTTTTCTTTTTCTTTTCTTTTTTTATAGCATCTTGGTCTGGTTTTGGTTCAGAGTAATGCTGGCCTCGTAGGATGTATTTGGAAGCTTTCCTTCCTCTTCTATTTTTGGAATAGTTTGAAGAGAATAGGTATTAACTCTTTTTTAATGTTTAGTAGAATTTACCTGTGAATCCACTGGGTCCTGGACTTTTGTTTCCTTGGAGTTTTTTGATTACCAATTCAGTTTCATTACTAGTATTGGGTGTGTTCAAGTTTTTTATTTCTTCCTGATTTAGTTTTGGAAGATTGTATGTTTCTAGGAATTTATCCATTTCTTCTAGGTTGTCCAGTGTGTTGGCATATACTTTTTCATATTCTCTTATAATCCTTTGCATTCTATGGATGTCAGTTGTTACTTCCCCTTTTTAATTTCTGATTTTATTTATTTCAGTCCTCTCATTTTTTTTCCTGATGACTCTGGCCAAAGGTTTATCAATTTTGTTTTTTCAAAGAACCA